CAGCGCATTAAAAAAGGGGCATGCGGGACTTATGCGTCAGTTTACAAGCAATGAAAATAGTTCCTTGGAATCCGAGTTAGCCAAAGCGAAAACAGGAGCCGAAAACACTATTTGCAGGATGAAATGCGTTGGAGTGCTGTAGGTATGTTGCAAGCTGGAACAAGACAATCCGCTGTTGAGAGAGAGCTCAGTGTGCACCGTAGTGGTAGGCTGTGGAATCGTAACCAAATGGATCAAAACTCTGTAGAGGATGTGGGTCTGGACGCCGGGGGATTACAACAACGACGGCAGATGTGCAAGACGCCGTAGATCACTAACAGCACGACAGCTGGCGTAGCATCTCTCTGCTGCTGCAGGACGCCCATATCCCACCAGAGTTTGTCGCTTCGATTGCATGAAAGTAAACTGAACACCCGATAGCCCGTGGTTTGTGTTCCTTTGCCCCCCATCGCATGTCAGAGAGCGGTTGAACTGGACCCGTGAACAACGCAGTTGGACACCAGAGCAGTGGAGCCACGTGCTTTTTACGGATGAATCTCTATTTCCCATATAGAACGATTTCCGAAGGGCAATCATATGATGAGAGCCAGGGATGCGATGTCGAGCGTCACGCATCGTCAAAAGAGACCATTACAGAGGTGGAAGCTTACTTGTATGGGATGAAAGAGCAACGAACGACCGCAACAACCTCTACGTGATGCCTGGTGGTTCCGTTACAGCCGTCTGATATCGCGACGACATTCTACACCCCGTAGTGCTTCCTTTTATCGCTTCAGTGCGATACCGACGCAATATTTATAGACAATAACGACCATCTGCACAGAGTTCTAGTGGTGGGGAATTAGCTGGAGAATAAAACAATTTCACATCTGCCGTGGCCTGCTAGATCACCGGACCTGAATACCATAGAGTAGGTGCGGGACATGTTGGGACGACGGATAGCAGGTGGTAGTGTGCTTCCATGCACCAATGAAGACCAATGAACCAATGAAACGAATAAACTCTGATAGCTTGATCCGGCGAAGGAGCTGCCTAATGGAAGATTTTGTGGCTTTCCACTTGTGTAATGGAAATATGAGTCAGTTTTCCTTAGAAACATCCTTTATAAAGGTATCCCTACTTTTATACAGATAGACTTCTCATGATTTTCAGTAATCCAAGTAATCCTATATTCACATATGTATATTTTCTAAAGAACATTGTACAAGGTAATGGAAATATAAATCCAGTAAACATTTAGCAATATACATGCATAAACTGTTCAAAAAGCGTCAAATTTCCTTCAAATAATCTTCAACACTTCTAGTTTTAATGACAATATCTTTCAAGTTTGGAACATACCTAACATCTGCAATAGTGCCAAAAATTAACATTCGTAAATGACAAGTATTTTTAGGTACGTAAATAAGCTTTAGTTCTATGACTCATTATAATTTGCCCAACCACAATTCTGAAACTTTTGCAGACGTGAAGATTAGAGTAGTGCATCTTCCAATTACTTCTTACGCATTTTCAACAAACTGAGTTATTCTCAGGCTTAGTGTGTAAGATATGTTCTCCCTCCTTATCTCGTGCCTTTGTGGAATAATTGAAAACCTACCGGCTAGAATGGTAAGGTCCGGAGTTCAAAACCCGGCGAGGGCATTCACTTTTTTTTTTTTTTTTTTGCTTTCCTGTTTCCAAAAACCTATAGTCTGTACAATGATTCCCGGGTATGATTTTGAAATTGATTTGAATTTTTTTTTGTGCATGGTTTCGAAGCATCATTTAGAGGAATTTTCTGTGCTTGATATGTAAGATTCATAGCAAGGCAATCAAATAAGATGGCTAAATATCTAAGTTGTCTTAATAAAATGTAATACATATCTGAAAAGAGTTTTAAAACAGTGGAAATGTTTTCTAATGGGCTAAATAAAGGCAAAAGTAATGACATATTCGGAAGATTCATTTTCCTCTGTAGTGATACATCGCAACGTGGAGGAATTCTCAGGGGCCTCAAACCTATGGATCAAAACAAAACGTGTATATCAATTTCACAAAATGTCTTCCGTGTATGGAAACTAATATTTATAAGGCCCTCTAACGTCTCGCCTAAGAACATATCTGAATTTGTGCCGAGAAATGCATGCAAATATTGCAAGCAAAATTAGCTTCTTCCTTTCACGATTTCTTTAATATATCACGTATTTTCTGCACTGTTCAGTTTTAGAGAAAAGTTGCTTTCTAAATTTTCAGCATTTAAATTTTAAGTGTCTTTTGAAACTCACGAAGGGTAAATGTCTTAATAATGCATCAGAGCATCAATACTCTTACCGCCAACCGCGAAAACATATATTTCTATTTTTATTTCAATATTAACTAATTAATTCCATGGTTTTCAATGACATTTGTATTAAACTGATACTTCTTTCACTTTGTAATTAAGCTGATTAATAAATTTTATCCGCTTTTTAAAATTACCGTGAACTCTACTTGTTTGCCTTCTGAGACTAGTATATTTGCTGTCTCTTACACATAGCAAGTTTTAAACATCTCTGCATTAAATATAGCGGTACAGTATTTGGAAATCATTTATGCTTTCATTTCTATTGCTATTTATTATTTGTTAATTATGATTACATTTATCTCTTTATTATTAAATTAGCATTACCCCTCTGATTGGCATCACGTTTCTTCTCAAAACTGCCATAAGAAAGAGGCATTTTCGTGAGTTTAATACCAAAATTCTCCTTGTACTTTATACCTGGATTTACATGCTTTTAATATATTTCCTTAATTCTTTTATATATTTCAAGATGCACGTGCTATATACTTCATTAAAGACGTCACAAAAATTATTATAGCCCGTATAAATGCGGCCTTTGCCGGTCAGAAAAGGCATCTTACTAAGAAAAGAAATTCAGCTATTAAAACTCTAGCAATAAAGTAAATATAGATAACTGAAATCAAAACTCCAGTTAATACACTGTTTACTTACCCCTCCCCGCAAATCATTTAAAATTAAGTTTGTTGTTAATTTCTAGATGTGTTTTTAATTTTTTCCTTGACATAAGAAATGCAAAAAAGTAAAACAGCATATACTTAAAAGGCTATAAAATTAATCTGGGTGAATAAGTATGGCATGCTATTGGTTTACAATTAAAAAATATTGCAAGCCAACAACTAAGCCATGCCTATTTAATTCAACAATATGCCGTTACATCAGTAAAGCACCCCGTATATCATTCAGCAAATATGTAAACTTTCAGTAGCATATTATCACATGTCAATAAAATGTCAGCACATTATAGCGTTTGGCAATTATGTAAGCTTTCAACAATGTGTCTCAGCAATAAAAAAAGTTACTCTTCTCCGTTTACTTCGTAACTGTTGCCGTTATGTGTAATATAAGGATTTTGATTTATTTTCTCACGACTTCATTATGTATATTAATACATTTTTCTCACGACCTTATTTTTATAACTAATTTTCAGTAGAATGTCAGTAGTCGACAACGCATAATATCTTCTAGTCTATATTTCAGATTATAAATGTATTTGCTCGACAAAATGAGCAATTTTAAAAATTTTAAATGTACATTTTAATTATTGACACCTTATTTTACTTTTTAATAATATGCTTACTTAATATAATTAAAAATATGTTTATTTTTCTAGTATGCATAATTGATATATTTTAAACATTTGCAGCCGTATTGTACGACTGGCGCTTGAAATAGGTTGGTTTCCGTAGGTACCAGCAAAGGGGAAGACTAAAATGGGGCATTTATCTTCCCTGGAATCGTATAAAAATACATATTTGTATTAATGCGTGCAATTTTTTGTATATATGATTTTTTAGTAATATATAGGTAAATATATTTTTGCGTAATAATAAAGCTTTTTTTTTTCTAATGGTGGGCACTTGCCTATGCCGGCATAGGTCACTCCTAAGGTCAGATGTGGTGGTCTCTTTATTACGGAGGCACCCGATAGATGGGCCACCATTGTCTCCTATGAAGGGACAGACAATTTTTACATGCATGCCTTCTCCGGGATTCGAACCCGGGCTCTTCGGTATTGCAGCCAGGCTCCCCTAACCACTATACCATCAGGGAGGCATATCTTTTCTAAAAATAAAAACAAGCAAACAGTCATTGAAATATTTTGTTCTTTCTTCGTGCAAGGAACTTTTGTCATATGATGTGCAAAGCAACTGCTGTTATTTATTTTCTGTTTGTTTTCCGGTACATGTCACGTTATTTTTGAGTGAGATTTCTTATTCCTGGAGAGGGGAGAATATCGTGTTTTTCTTCATTTTTCAAATATATTACTTTTAACTGTGCAGAGTCATTAGGTTTTTTTTGAAGAAGGAGTGGCGAAAACTGAGCAATGCTCTGCCCGGGACTCGAACCTGGACCTCTCGAATACGCGCCGAGTGTGGTATCGTTACACCACGCAGACATGCTGGGAGGAGGTAGAAAATACCTTATAATTGCATAAACTCTTTTAAAGATTAAAGTAAACGGAAAAAATGTTCTTACTTGTTTTACCATAAATATGCAGTTGGCTTACAAACTGAGTCAAACAGAAATTCTAATGTTCAAATTATTTGAATGGGCTGCAATTACAGTCAGTCCAAATTACAAATTTTGCTACATATTTTAATTCAAAAATTGTTTAAAGAACTTTTAAATTGAAGCCAATTTTCCGCAGATCAAATAAGTATTGTTAATAGTATGTGTTAGCTAGTGATACAAATAACGTAAAAGCTTTATGCTAGTCGACTGATCTGTTAACTCCTAATTAATCGTTGAATGGAAGTTAAATTGATTGTTTCCAGCTCCTGTTCTACATAGGGCCAAGCATTTCTATTTTTAAACATTAGCCTAAAACTCAGTCAACGAGCACGCATGGATAGATTCTTTCGAGTTAACCCGAAATGAATCAGATAGATGTGACATTCCGAGGCTGAAAAGCTGGCGACTTTTTTTAACAAGCGTGCCTCCTTTGGCGGCGTTCCAGATCAGTCCCGGCGGATCTTCATTTTTCTATCATTTGGGAGAAACCAACAAGCACTTCTTGAGACTCACTTTCATTAACGAAGATTTAATTTTTTATGTTATTTATTTATTTATTTATTTATTGGTATTTTTATTAGTCAGCCATGGATGTTTTTCATATAAACCTCTTCCTGCTGTTGTCACAAAGCATGCTGATCTCTTCTTCGCTTATCCATCTAGATGGCAATGGATATAAAGGAATAGTTGTAGCGATTCATGGTAGTGTTCCGGAAAATGGGAAAATAGTGCAGAATATAAAGGTAACGTCTAATATTTATTTTTTTAATTAAGTTAGATTTTCCTTAAGAAATCGAAAATAATAAAACTGTAATTTTTCTTCTGAATCTTATGTCAGATCAGCCTTTAAAAATTAATTATTACATAAAGTCATTATATAGAAATTATAGCACAATTATCTCTCTTACTGAAGTATTATCGCTGTTCAGTTTAAGAATTATTATATGAATCTATGTTCAGTTTTTTAAAATTTTCTGAAACTGTAAGTTGCGTGCCCTGCGTATAATGAAAGAATGTGTACTGTTGTTTAAATTTATTAACCTTAACAGAATATACAACCTCATGCGTAAACCTTTTAATAAAATGGAATGTTTCCTTTTAATAAAATGGAATTCAAATTCTAACCAACTCCCTGCAAATCATCATTTAAAAAAATGCCTTGAAAGACTATTTACTATGTTTTTTTTTTTTTTTTTTTTTTTGTTCTATAATAAAACAAAAATAGACAAGGTATCGAATTGAATGAATGGGCATTATAATTTATAAAAATTAAGAATTATATTGTAAAATTTAGGATGCTAAAGAGCATGTGGTCATTCTGTTTGCTATAGGTTTCAGATAGATTTTGTGAATACTGTAGGGTTTAGTTATCATAATATTTAATTTGATTTAATAATAAAGACGATTAACTAAATGACGATTTAGATTAGACTTAATAAGGCTCCTGACTGTGTGTAAGGAAAAAACCTTTCGCGGAAATGATGGGTCTTCAATAACGGATTGATGATCTTAAGGAGTGGTCCACCAGCGACCAAGTGAATAACATCACTGAACATTGGTGGCTTGATCCTAATTAAAATACTTCCGTATAAGCTGATATAGACATTTTCGTGTTTTTACTCATGGGTATGATAACAATTTTTTATCAGAAAGCCCGTCAGGAAGGCATCCCTTTGTATTCGCAGGCAGTCTTCCCATACTCTGCTATAATTGTTTAAATTAAACAAGTATATTAACTGCTTCGACCTCATTAGTTTCTATACTAACATATATATACACACACACGCATATCTATCTATATATATATATAGAGAGAGAGAGAGAGAGCAGAAGTACTGGAGGACTCTTGGTCTAATGACTAGCATTCAAAACGCACGATATTTGAAATAAATAACTAATATTTCTAATAGTTAGTTCAAAGAGACAACTGTACTTAATGATGCAATTGCTATGTTTGACGGACAGTTTCAAGACTTGTTTAAACAAACATTTTCAAAGAGTGTTTGGTACTGTCCTCTCCCCACCGTAGTGAAGGCAAACTATTTAAGTTATTTATCAAGGTACGTTTTTCCTTATCTGAGTCTGAAAGGCCTTAGAATAGCACTCGACATAAAGTAAAACGCAATGAAAAAAGTTGATTACATTTACGTATTCTTAAGTATAAACAAGAAGAAACAGCCTATATTGAAGTCACATGCATTCAGTTCAAAGCATTACAGTTGCGATATAAGAAGAAATTAATTAAATAAACCACACTGTTTTTACCAAATATGACATTCGTTACATATGTCATTCGAACTAACATCTATTAATCATAATAATGTTACGAAATTTATCAGTTGGGACTATTATAAACTGAAATTATTATAAAGGTTTATAATGTATTATAAATATATATTAAATGGATGTATTTTAAATTACCGAGATTTTAATGCATATCAGATTGGATTAACTAATCAGATATTCATTAAAACCTGGGCATTAGGATAATTCAGCGAGCCATAGGATAAGTCATCTATGCTGAGTTACCACGTTTAGAGGGAAATTTAGGGAGGAGACTTCTAGCAACTTAAAAGACTAAAATTATAACTTTTTCATTTTCTTTACCTTAACATAAACGATTTTCTTGATTTTTTTACTTTTTTAAATTGCACACTGCAACAATATTTATTGCAATGCATAAATACCTATGAACTTGTTTGAATAAATTTTATTTTTAAATATTTTTTAAAAAGTCTTCAATTATAGTTTCCATGCCGAGATTCGCGAAGTAGAGCTTAAGAGCAAACTTATTTATTCTGTTACTGTCTCAAGGAAAAATAAGGGAAAAGGAATTTTTAATGGGAATGAAAAGAAATTTTTGTTGATCTAAAGTGCTTATTTGTTTTGCGACATCAAGTTAGCGAAATTTGTCTTCATAATACGGATCAAAGAAAATTTTACGAAAAACATACTGTTCGGATAAGGCGAGGATAGCGAGTTTCCACTGTATCATTAAAAAAATGAAATCAAAATGTAAGCTAATAAGAAGTGGTTATTTATTTCTTTTAATCGCTCACTTTCTTAAGCAAATGCTATTACATACTGAAATACGAAAAGTATTTGTGCCAGATTATTAATTTAATAGAACATGCATAAATACCGTTGTGTACTACAAATAAATTTCTCTGGATATGTATTAAATCTTAAATGTATTCGAAGATGTTCAGACCATAAGCACATAAAAGTTTAATTTATGTGATTAATTACCCCATAAAACTATGTGCAATGTTTATCCAAAGAGCTTTTGCAGCGGAAACCCCAGTCTTACAAAGGTTTATGAAACTTATTTTAGAACCCCATAACTCCTGATAATTCATTCCCCTTATCCGGTTTTAATGCTCGGGAGACGTAATTACTATTTTTGAACACTTGGTATAAAATGTCAACTCTGTTAAGAAGGAGACGTTTCTTTCTAACTGTGCAGTTTTTCTTATCGTTAATTTATTTATGTAAACAGGAAGAGGTCCTCTTCGTTTTTAAACATTAGCATCCTAAGGAAACTATAGAAAGTTAATGACAAAAACAGCAAAGTATAGAAAATGCAGCACGAAGATGCTGAGTTAAATCGAATATTTTTGCTAGTGCCTTTTCTGTGTTCATTCATACAACTTCTGTGCAATCCAGTTGGTTTTCTATAAAAAAAAAAAATTCTGATTTTTTTGTATTCGAGTTTACGTATTTCAGTTTTTAATATTTATAAACTCATAATTCTCAGCTGCGCTGATAATAAGATCGAAGTGGTTTCGAATCATTAGATCTATATACACTATTTAAAATCAATCAGAGTCTAAAGCAGTTGATAAAATATGGTCGGACTTATTGATTAAATATGCAATTTATAAATGTTCAGACTATTAATATTTGTAAGTAAAATATGTTTCTCAATACGCTTTGAGCTAATTACTAAAATTATTATGTACTTGTTAATTTAATAAATTGTATGTACTAGAATTGTCTAAATGCAAATAAATAATTCATTTAAATTTTAGAATACATTATAAAAAAAACAAATCGGCTCAAAATTTTTTAAGCCGAATAAAATATTTTTATTCGAAATGAGTGTTAACTCAAGGGTGAATTCTGCCCGTTTTAAAGCTAAAGTACTTCTGGTACACTTATCATCTTTTTATTAATTATTTAGTCTCAACGAAACATAAGGCACGACTTCTGTGACCATTGTGGCTGTTCGGGTTAAGCAATAACAGACAATTAAACGCAAACGCGGGTAACGTAGTCTAAGGCTACACATTCAATAAAATAAGCTGTAAACTAGCTCAGTTATTTTTCGGCGCGTAAGCTTAAAGTAACCGGCTAGTAAGAGAATGTCAAAACCTGAATATTGCTTTTAGATAGAGCTGGTGGGTAATTCTAACAGCAGAAGCCCTCTCTCCAAGATTCAAAATCCTCAGCTTAAATACTCTCAAACGAATTGCATTCTGATGAGGAATACGGAGGTCAGAAGTTACAGTAAAGATCAAAATCACAACAACTGGTTAATTAACATATAATACATATAATACAATACCTATAATATACATTCAATATAATACATAACGTATAATACATATTATACTTCATGTGTTACATTAATTTTTTAATATTTTATATATACGTATTTATATATACCCCTACACCTTGTTACGCTGAGTAAACAAGTTGTCTCAGAACAGACCGAGAATAGAAGTTCATGGCCTTTTTCTAAGAATTTCCCACGATTAACAAGATTTTTTGTATACATGCCTTTGATTTGTTGCATTAACTAAAAAATAATAAAGTTTTAAGCATCAGGTAATTTTGTTAAATATAAAAATTATATCTAGTTATAAAAATTTTTTAATTCAATTCAGTTTTTGCCCTTCTTGTGCGAATTTTTTTTTTATTTTATTATATCGAGTGGGAATTTATTTAAAAATATAAACTTGTATACGTGTCAGCAAGTCGAACTAACCGCTCATTCATGTTTGGTGTTTTATGAATTCAAACATAAACTGATTGCTCCTACTTATTTTTTGCCATCTAACCATATTCGTCTTTCTACTTGTCTGTTTCTACATTCACTAAACAACAAGAACTAAAAAATGGAACAACAAGAACTAAAAAATGGAACAACAAGAACTGAAAGAATGTGAAATAATTCATTCGTAGTTTCATCTAATTCTACTCTTACTTCACTGAGTTTTCTGCTTTATGTAAAACTTATTTCCGCAGTAGTGTTACAAAGTGAATTAGGACAAAACACTCAGCGTTTGTCTGCCTAAGCATCTCTAGTGATAGAATTAGACCTCCAAGGATGAAATTCGAAAGTCTGTTACAGCATTTATTTCCTGCTCTTTAGAAAAATTAACTCTGCGGTGGCTTTTAAGTAGGGACTGCGATGGATTTTAAGTTCTCGTTTCCATAAAGACAGTACAGTGACAACTATCCTTCACTTATTCGGGACTCGAAACGTAACCTAACGAATTAGTAATAACATCTACTATCCACGACATTAACCCGTCTGGGGGTATTCTGAATAGCAACTGAATCAGCTTCATCAATTAATCCAAAATCGAGTGAAGTATAGTGCGGAACATTGCCTAAATATTATTACTGTTATTTTACGCTGCTACAACGTGGGAAATATTGTAAGGCATTTATTTACACAGAGTAACATTCTAATATTGCTTATGCAAGACATTATCAGGGTCAAAGGAAGCCTATT